GCAGAACTGTGGGGCCGTGCCCTGACCCAGAGGCACTGCTGCCCTCCCCGCAGCACTGCAGCGGAGCCTGCTGCGGGCCCTCCTGAAGCTTGACAAGTACCTGAGTGCCCCGCTGGAGTATGAGCTGGTCCACGACCCACACCTCCGGGCCTCCCGGCGCCACTTCCTCGACGGGGACCAGCTCACGTTAGCTGACTGCAACCTACTGCCCAAGCTCAACATCGTTCAGGTGAGCAGGGGCATCCCAGTGCCATGCCCTTCCCCTTGCCCTGGTTTCTCGATGCCACTAGCCCCATGCTCCCACCTTCCCCTGGGTGACTGCAGCAACCCCCCGCTCCTTTTGCCAACCCCTTTATCACCCTGGTGCCACCTGGCTCCCCCCTCCCCAGGCCCCCGGCCTAGCATGGTGCCTTCCCACAGATGTCACTCCCCTCCTCATCTGCTGCTGGGTGCCACCGCTCATCTTGTGCAGTGCCAGGCATGTCCCCTGGCCCTCTACCACCCTTCCTGGCTGGTTCCTGCCCATGAATGCTACTGCCTGGCTGCGGGGCCCACCTTGGCACACCACAGGCACACGGGGCTGGGCAAGGGCTCACCCTGTTTCTGCCCACAGGTTGTGTGCCAGCATTACCGCCGCTTCGGGATCCCCAAGGACCTGCAGGGTGTGTGGCGGTACCTCAACAGTGCCAGCGAAACCAAGGAGTTCAAATACACCTGCCCCAACAGCGAGGAGATCATACAAGCCTATCGCTCTGTAGTCCGGTTGCCGCAGTGAGCTGGGCAAATGCCCAGGTGGGTGCAGGGCCAGGGTCGGGCAGCAGGCCAGTGCCCGCCCCGGTCCTGCCACAACCACCAGAGTCCTGCCTGCACACACTCAGGAGGGCAGAGAGCATGCGCTCGGCCCCTGGCACCCAAATTCCCCCAGCTGGCACCCCTGCCTGTGGTGCCAGCAGCAATCTGCATCACACTGAGCCCACAAACACTTTCTCACCTCTTGTGCCACCCTTCCTGCCTGGGCAGGACCCCCTCAACATGCCCTGCAGTCCTCCAAGCATCCAAATGGATGCAAGGGGGCCACAGCCACGGGCACCATTTGTACCAAAGGTGGGCAAAGCTGAGGGCAAGGGCAGGCACTGGGGAGGAAAAGCTGCCCAGAACAGAGGGCTGCAGGGCACACAGAGGGCAGTGCACTGCAATGGGCATCCCGGCAGCCTACCTCAGAGGCACACTGTGCCCCCCACCAGGTGAGTGACCCCAGGCAGGGCTATGCCAGGGTAGCAGGCACCACAGGATGCCCCCGAGGCGCTGCACCAGTGAGGGGAATCTGCAGAGCCCTGGGAACAGAGCCAGGGGGCTGGCACAAGGGGTAGACACGGCCCAGCTCCCATCGCCCTGGGTGAGGGGAGTGGAAGCCACCACCCCTCCACAACCCACCCTTAGGAAGCTCTCAGGACCAGATTTGGGAGAGGGATGGGGGTGAAGCAGGGCAAGTCCAAGCCATGTATCAGAGCTCCCTGAAATCAATAAAAGCTTTGCAAGAGAGACAAGTGTGAGCCTGGAGTGACCAGCCCCAGCAGCTCTCCTCCCTCACAGGACTTCGCACTGGCTTCCCCATCCTCTCCCAGTGCCTGTTAAGGACTGGGCCCATTCTCCCAGCTCTCCAGGGAGCTGGGGAGGCTCCAACCACTCACCCGCCAGCCCCCTGGCACAAAGCTGGCAGGAAAGAGAACTCCTCTAAGCCCCTGACCCTCCAGGTTCAACTGAAATTAGCCACAGAGTTCCCGAGCAAGGGGAAGGCACAATGGACCAACACAGCTGCACTGCCCCAGTCCCCAGAGACCATCTGGCTAAAACCATCTTTACTGGCAATAAGTTAAGCACAGGCTATCTTTTTGTTACATAGCGATAAAAAATTCTTAAAAAAAACCCCACCAATTCATGGCAAGCGAGGTAGAGAGGTGGCCCCTGCCAGCAGGGAAGAGATGCAGAGAAAAAAGCCACCACTTCTGTCATCCCTGCCCCATCTGTCCCCCGCAAAGGCCCTGCCACTGCACCAGCTGAGGGTCTGCTGCCCGCTCAGGCCTGCCAGGTGCTGGCTCCAGCCCTCTGGGTCCTGCTTGCCACATCCACCTCTCTGGGCGCAAGGGGCTCAGCAGGCCCAGGGTGCAGTGAAACCTCCTCCACATGTGTGGTTGACAAGGCTCCGGTAGAACTGTCATCAGGGGACGGGACAGCAGAGGTCAGGAGTCCTCAAAGTCCACTCCAGATGGTGCCTTCTTGCTAGAAGGAGATGGAAGGAGCATCACAGCCCAAAGCCCCACACCCTGCTCCCATGCAGCTACGCAGCAGACACAGTGGACACTGGATCTCTCTGCAGTCCATCCCCAGCACTGGGCTGGGGAGTAGTAGTTACCTTTTGAAGCCAGGGTTAATGAGAGACTCTCCCGGGATCTTCCTCTTGGCTGGCAAAGCTGAGCCAGCACCCCTATTCTTCCTGGGACTGGGGCCTGCCTCGGCCAGGGACAGGCAGGATGGGGATTGCAAAAGGTCAGCCAGTTGCTTTGGCAGCCCTGCAAGCCGCTCCACACCCGGGGTGAGCCTCCAGCAGCCCAGCCAGGCTGGCCCAGCTTCTGTGGTGGGTGAGGAAGGGCCAAGCCCCCCACGAGGGTCTCCTCTCCCAAAGGAGCAGGGAGCCATGGACCTGCCACGGCCCCCAGTCTGGAAGAGCAGCCAGGCCTGACCTCCTCCAGGAGGCTAGCAAGCAACCTGCTTGGCAATGCCCAGCATTTGACCTGAGCGCAGAGCATCTCAGACACCCTGAGAGCCATTGCCCTGGCCCCTTCTGTGTCGGGAAGGGCGCCAGAACAGCGGGCTGGCTGACAGCAGCCACAGCTGAAGAGACTCACAGTGTCCTGGAGAGCACATGGACACAGGACCAGCAGCTTCCTAGGGAAGAGAAGGCAAACAAGCAGCTGGACCATGGGAAGTACCCCCTGGCAATTGCTCACCTGGCAGGAAGGGCTGCCGACTCTGGGCAGCGTTCTTCTCAGGGCTGCAGGAAGATGCCAGTGTCTCCACCACTGCTGAGACGAACCAGAGCTTGTGACAACATACCCCAATGCAGCATGCAGCACCCTAGGCTGCCCCAGCAAGCTCCCTCCCCTCCACAGCCGAACTGAGCCACCTCCTCCTCCCAACACTCCCACCCAGGCTGCCACTGCCCCAGCATCTTCCTAGACCCTTAAAATAGAGACCTCTGTAACGCGATTCCCATACACAGAGATGACTGTGGTGCTGGCCATAGGGACAAGGCTGCGTTTCTGCACTGAAACACAACACTGCATTCTCTGGTCCCATGCAGGTCCTCTTCTGCCCAAGGTGGTCAAGTGCAGACACTGGCCAGCTATGGGGAACTGGCCAGCCCAAACAGGAAAAAAGCAGCTGCACCTCTGCTGCCCAGCCCTCCTGGCCAGTTCACCCGGGGCCAGCGAGGAGAAACCATGTGGGGCAAGGCCAGGGAGGCACAAGCCTTCTCCCATTGCTGGCTGAGCGGGTAACTTGGGGCACCTTTGGGTGGGGAGGATGACACTGTGAAGGTGGCAGAGAGCTGCCTGCCCTCCTCCTGCCTTTAACCTCTTCCAACACCGCCTCCTCCCCGGACCTTCCAGGCGTCTCTCCAGGCTCTCGATGCACCCTGCCATGCCGAACACCAGTGCCTGGACCTGGCTCCTCGCCTCGGCGATGGGCAGCTTGAAGAGATCCAGGGCCGCGCACTGGGCCTCCTCCTGCAGCTGCAGCGTGGCCTTCCCCTCGCCCAGGCTGAGCGAGGCGGCCCCTCGTCCCAAGGCCTCCCTGTGCGGGCGAGTGCGGGGTGAGGGGAGCCCTCGGCCGAGGGACCGGCTCCCCGCGGCCGCGGCCCCCCCCCC